ATCCGGCGCACTTATATACAGCAACAGAGGGCGCCTTGCACATACTGGATTATTCGTGATGTTCCCCAATCCTTCTAGAATATCATGACGTGTTACCAGCGTCACGTGGCTACCGCTGTCGTAACAATACTAACCAGTCGTCATTCGCCAAGTAAAGTAAAGCATCCTTTCCAGTTTCCTCCACAAATCCTTGGGACTTCTTTTTTTTGTAAAAGAAGGCTTGATCTCGACAGAAGGAAGTTTCTTTGTCTTCCGTGGCCTTCTGTGTAACCTGATTATGTCTTAGATAGTATTTCTTAGATAGTTTGACAGAAAAATTTCGTATAAAATTTGAAGAAATGCTAGACATGATTTGTTACGATCTTAAAACTTGTCAACGTTAGAAATCTTGAATTTGGATCTAAATAATCATAAATTGGAATAACTTATATCATAGAAGAATGTTTTAGCTGTAATAACATTTCTACATGAATGATAACGAGTTCCTAACAGCACATTATTCAGTTGTTATTACTCTTCACTTAAGCAATCTTAAGCTTGTTCTTTGAAATCACGATGAATTAGAATATGTTGCTATATGTTTCACATATGCGTCTATAACACAAATCTGTATAAACCAATAACCTACAAGAATATTGCACATTGAAGCTATATATATATAACTTTCATGCAAAGAACTTCAAGTTTTTAAAATATAGTAAATTTTTCTTATTTTACAAAATATTTACCTTTCTGTTTTCCCATTAGAGAGTGATACCAGTAAGGGAAAGTGAAAAGAAGGTTGTTTTTTTTTCTGAAATAAATATTCTGGCAGTTGATTGTTGTTGTTTTGTTATTGTTCTTGTTTCTTTTAAGGATACAAGCACTTTAAATATTAAAACATAACTAAAGTCGCTCTTTCGTTTGTTCATTTTTTATGACTTTTTGTGCCTTCAGACTATTTCCAATATAACAACTTCACATTTTAATACGAAAAAAATAAAGTTGCAGTTGTAGAACATGTTATTGCCTGTCATTCAAAGTTAATCTTCCTAACATCTATGATAGCCAACGATAAATGACCATTACTGCAGTAAATATCACTAAATCACTGTCTTGACGCCCACAGACGGCTCAGTTGGAAGACATAGGGTTTTGATATCTGCGGTGGGCACAGCACAAATAGCCAATTGTGTAGCTTTGCGCTTAACAACAAACAAACCAACCGTCTTGATTTGGCTTGTGGTATTCGAAAAAAAGAAAAAACAATATTGTGTAATAATATATGAATAAAATTATAAAATTTCCACCATGGGCTGTTATGCAACTAATATCTTAACATACGTAATTCTAAACTGGATAAACTTATGCATAAACAACAGATTTTGAATATATGCAATTTTTAAAATTATCGTATTGTTACAAGAGTCCTCCACATCATAACTACCGTAAAAGGAAAGTTTTGTAGACCGTTGAAGGTAGAAGTTCATGATAAT